TTGACGTTTCGTGAGATTTTATTTTTTTTTTCATCGAATTTATCTCTCGCTTAAAAAAAATTTGAATTTTTTTGTCTACTATGGGGACATGGGGACATTGACGATTCGTGAGATTTTATTTTTTTTTTCATCGAATTTATCTCTCGCTTAGAAAAAATTTGAATTCTTTTGTTCACTATGGGGACATGGGGACATTGACGATTCATGAGATTTTATTTTTTTTTTCATCGAATTTATTTCTCGCTAAGAAAAAATTTGAATTTTTTGTCTACTAGGGGGGGACATGGGGACATTGACGATTGGTGAGATTTGTTTTTTCGATCGAAATTTTTTTTCGTTTACAAAAAATTTGAATTTTTTTGTCGACGATGGGAACATGGGGACATTGACGAATGATGAGTTTTTATTTTTTGTTGATCGAATTTACGTCTTGCTTACAAAAAATTATAATTTTGTTTTCGATGATGTGGACGTAGCGATGTCGAATGTTTGATGAAGGTTTATTATGAAGTCTCTTTGTTCAATAAATTTGTTTGTATTTTTGATCGGAGTGACAGTGGATGCTTGATTGAATTTATATGAATAGTAAGCTTTTTTAATGATGGTATCTGTGATGTTGTTGGATTGTTTTCTTGTAATTTTTTGCGTTTTGTTTCATTTTGTTTTTATTGATCATATAATTGACCGTTATGCTTCAACGATTGAGTGAGAAAATGAGTTTAGTATGATTCAAAAGGTGGTTTATGTGTTTTAGAGATAGTGACGATGATGTGAAAAATAATTTTCAAACGGCATAGGACATTAAGACATTTCTCTATTATATTTCTCTGCTCACTAATCGATAAATTCGATAAGGAGCTGTTTAGAGGATTTGGATAGATTTTCTGAGCTTTAGAACTCATAGACTTAATAAGGTTTAATTTCTGCTTATGAGAACGTTGGAAGATAAATATCTATTAAATGATTATTAAAGATTAGAATAATTCACGAAATCAGAATAATTAAAAACGACTCGTTCCATAATGATTCTCTACATGCAGAAAAAAGACGAAATTTTTGTGTTTGGGTTAGGAGTGATATCTTTGAAGGGTTCTCTTCAAGTTCGCTAGTGTAAAAATAGAACTTGATGGATAGACGTATCATGTATAAAATCAGTTGATAACGTTAAATCGAATAATGAACATAAATGAAATAACTTTTAGGAAAGGATTTTTGGGAGACACTGTATAACGAAAAATTCAGATTTGAAAATTCAAACATAACATTTATTGGAGTTGCAAGGAAAAAATGTTAATGGTTATTTTGTATTTATAGAACAACTGAATTATACAATAAGTATTAATGTGTTTATTTTTTCTTTTTATAAGTTCTTGGACGTTTGACAGATTCATTGCAACAACTATTTCGTTTATTTTGTTGAATTTGACGAGAATGAATATTAACATCATGTGCTATGTTTGAGGATGTTGGTTCGGAATTATCCATATCTAAATAGTTGAAAAATGTGAGATGTTTTCATACATCTATTTGAAAGAATAGAGAAACCAAAGATATTAGAGTTTGAGATTGGGTTAACTTTTTAATGATATGATCGGACCCAACTCGTGGTCTAGGTTATTTTGTTTTTGGCAAATGAGACGGAGTTTGTTTTTAGAAATTAAACAATTTTTTGGTGCATCTGTAGGGATTTTTCCAACATTGAGAAGAACTAAGCCATTGTCTCTATTTACAAATTGTGTTGGTCTTGTATTCATTTCGATATGGATCAATTTATCGTGATCTGAAGCGATTTGAGTCGAATTTTGATAGATATTTAAACATTAATCACTTCGAAAAGAAATGAACGATATTGCTTTATGGTTTAGATGAGAAGAACAGAAGTTTTTTTTTAATAAACAAAATGTGTTAAATTATAACAATGGAAAAAATTTTACCATTTAGGTTGTATGAATTTGAGTCATTGATAAGCGAATTAGAAGTTTCAAGAGTATTTGATATCATAGATGAAGCAGTTGTTTCATCGGTGTAATTTTCAATACGTGGTGTACAATTGTGTTCATCATGAATATTTAATGCTACTTGCTTTTGATGATCAGGCATGACGAATGTTGATAATAAAATATTGGTAGTTGGAGATATTGAAAATTTTTCTTCAACATTAGGAATAGAATTATTTATTTGTTTTGTTGTCATTAAGTTATTATCCGACATCGTATTATCTATTAGAACAATTTGTAAGTTAAAAAACTGCTTTTATGATAAGAAATTTACAGTTAGATATTAAAGATATACAATTTGAATCTATGTTGTTTTTGGTTGTTTTTTCTGAAAAAAAACGAACTTGTGCATATATGTTTATCTCTTTTAGTTAACATACCAAATATCTGTTTTGTGAAATTAGTTTGTGTTAAAATCGATAGATGCTCATTGGTATAAGAAGATATATTATGATTTGATGCAGATACTGTAAGTTCCTGAACAGGTAAAGTTTGTTGATTGTTTGTTATATTAATAGCATCAGAAATGTTTGAGAGTTGACGAGTCGTTGAATTATCTATACATAGGTCATTGTTTAGATTTTGAAGTAATCTTACAAAATTCTAAAATACCAAGAAGAACGTCTGTAGGTGATATGTAAATATTGTTGTTTGAAGATGACATATTATGAGATTGTTCAATTCGAGAATTTGTATGTAGTTGTTGAAGTAGTTGATTTAAAGGAGTATATGTCTGTTCATCGTTTTGATGAGATAATACTTTACCAGATATGACCTTTACTACTTGATAAATATTTTCGTTTAGAAAAATGAAATTAGTAAATGTCAGCTTATTTTGTTATAACTACCGATGTCTTGATTACTTCTTGGTTGATTATCTGTTGATTGACTACTTGTTGTTTCACTATGCAATCGCAGATTATTTGCTATTGTAACATTGTCAATATTATTTGATGCATGAATATCTACAACGAATAAAAGAACAATGTTAATTTAAGATTGATTGTCAATATTGATTAGCTTTATATTATATTTAAAAATTTATATGAAATCCATACTATCTAGATTACGCTCTGGATATTTTCGTTTTAAATTTTCATATAGAAGTTGGTGTTCCGGCAACATTAAAACTTGTTTTCCAATCATTGTTAATACTTGTTTTTGCTTTATAATAGAATTGCTCAATGTTATCATATAACTTTGTAAATCCATTTTAGCATCAGTGAAAATTCGATCAACAACACTTCGTTTTATTGGATCATTTAGAATATCATTCGATGGATACGACTTCATATGAACAATAGCACGTGATGTTGTTGTTATGAATGCTTTGAAATTACAAAAATATGAAAATACGCTTTTCATATAGAATGGGTAGTATTAGAGTTAAAGGAGAAATAGCAGAGACTTTGGTAATGAAGTCGGATGAAGTTTTCCGAAGTCTTGTCAAATCTTGTGAAGTTTTGAGATGTGTCATCAAATGCTTTGAAGTATGTAGAAATTCTCATGAAATTTGAAACGTGTGTGGTAGGTATTTTTCATCGAAAATTTACCAAGAGACTTATGATGCTGCGTTTTTTTATAGTCGTCTTGTTTTAGTGGAAATGTGAAGTTTCATTATTTAGTGAATCTGTAAGCAAAAATTTCGACCCCGTTAGAACGTAAATAGAGACAACAGGTAACATGTGAATGGTCTATTATAATGTTGTTTATTGCGTAAAGTGAAATGATTTATCAAAGTAATATCACTGTTACGAGCAATTTAAATTCTTCTTCTTTGGTATTGCTCGCGACAATCAAATAGTTCATAAATGGTTCGCTTCATGGGAAAAACAGTTGACTTTAAGACTTTATGATTTCAAACGATTTTGAAATTTTATCAAAGTTAATCGAGTGCTATAATCAAAATTTTTTTTCTTACTTCTTCAATAATGCATTCAGTTTTTTATAGATTACGAAAATTTCACTCAATTTTTAACAATTCTTGGCTGATGGTAAAATTTTGAAGTCTCTCAAAATCTTCGAACATCTTTTGAGAGTGATGCATTTCCTAGAAGATTTATGAAATCTAACGAAGTTCTTTCAAGTTTCATGAAGTTCTTGGAAATGGTATTAAGTCTGCGAAATACCATGAAGTTTTAGGCAAGCGTAACTCAGTAAGAATCTCAATTTTAGAATGTCATAAAGTCTAGATGCCTCTTAATTTTTTTTTAAATCGTATAAGGTGTTTTGGAATTTGATCAAGTGTTTCGAAGTCTTCTGGAATCGCGTGAACACTAATGAGGTTTTGTGAAATCTGATTAAGTCTTTGAAATGTCTTGCATTAGTAGAAATGTTCTGAAATTCAGTGAAATTCGATAAAGTGTTCTAAATTTTCCTGAAGCCTTGTAGTTATAATTTTTAGTACATATTGAAGTTTGACGGAGCGCTTTGAATTTTCGTAAAGTGTTGGATATTCTTTAGGAGTGTTTTGAAATGTGTTGAAAATTTAAACTCTTTGGCAGTGAAGTTTTCTGAGACGATGAAATTAGTCTTCTTCCTCCTTTTACTCTTAGAAGTCTATTACACTTTTCAAAAGTTTCCTAATATTAGGCAAAGTTTGGTACAATCCTTGGAAGTTTGCTAAAGTTTAATGAAATTATTTAAAGTTTTATGATATCTTTTGAAAATTTAAAATTTTGGTTCGTGAAGTCTCTTAAAGTTTTGTGAAGTTTGTGAAAATTCTGAATCCTTGAAATCATCTGGTTTTTGCTTGATTAAGAGATGCATTATAAGATACGTTTTAAAATGACCGCATTATTACTCACGCCCTTGTCGTAGTAATTGATATTTTGTAAATTCATCAATAATAGTATTGACCATATCTGTTGAAAAATGACGAAGCAAACCCATTGATCCTGTTAAATCTCGTTTTAGAAAGAACAAGTGGGGTATTTGGAGGATACGTTCACGAATTTTATTTGTTGTTGAATGAACTAAATTAATTGTTTTTTCAAATTTATATCAACACATTTATAGAAATTCTTACGAGAAATCGTTTCAATTGCGGTTTTTTTATCGTTGAGAAGAACAGGTTCGATGTTGTAAATTTCAAATAACATTTTAATCAAATGACTGCAAAAAAGATAGCCAGTAAGATGACAACTCGATGATTGAATTTCCAAAACCATAGTTTGAGATGAATATTTATTTTCGATTACTTGTGTTGCATTACGAATAAAACTAAAGCTAGTATCGTCATATTTAAGTTGATTTTGATCTTGAAGAATTCTATAAAATAAGGCAATTGACCAGTTGTATTGTTTAAAGTGATACTATAAGAAAATAAAAAGAAAGAATTTTACACTTACTTTAATATTTCCAATGCAATTTTAACAATTTCAGAAATTCCAGCAAGTTTACATAAAATTTCTGCTGATTCACCCAGACGTGAACCATAATTAACATCATCTGATTTTTCACGTTGTGATAATTCTTGGTATTGACGTATTTTATTATAAAATTTTTTTGTTCCATTTCGACTTAAAACAAATTCACGTTTGCCAATTAGACGAGCTACTATTAATATTTGTGTTAACCTTGGTAAATTTTCTTTGATGCTGTTTAATCTTTCTGATTCATATTCCTCATCGCTTAAATCTTCTTCATTATCGTTGTCTTCATCATCAATATCGTTGTAATCCAGTGATTGTGGAGTATTAAGTGTTGAATCTTTCTTCTTTGGCATTGCATAATGCAAAAATCTAAATGTTTTATCTATGTATTATTAAAATAAATTAAAATTTCACTATCAAAGGTCATAAAAAAAACTATGTTAGAATAATTCTTGAGGAATTAATAATGTGAAGCACGATGTGATGATAAAAACAAAACACACGTGGACATTTTAATTGTGTATCTATTGTTTTCACTTCGTGCAGAGTAAGTGATAAGTTACTGGACATACTCTGTAGGGGAGAAGATCTTTCTTGAACCTTGTATCCTCAACTAGATCAGTGATGGCACGCGAAGAAAATATAAATTTTTTTCCAGGGGTAGATATATTTCCGATCCATCGGATGTGATATATTTCATATAGACTTTAATTCTTTATGGAATGATATACGTCACATTTGCCAAATATATTTCGTAAGGAAGAAAATCTTTCATAAACGTCGTAGCATCATCTACATAACTAAAGTCACGTGAAAAAAAGTATCAATTTCTTTTACCGCTTAAAATATGTTCGGTCCATCGGATGTGGACTATTTAGTGGAGAATTTAGTTCTCTATTGAATGGCATACACCATGTCCACTGAACATATGTCGAAACGTAGAAGAAATCTTTTAATCGTTACGAAGGCTTACATGAGTGATGATATAAGAAAAAAAAATATCCATTTTTTCCACCGCTCGAAACTTGTTCGCTCCATCGAATGTGGTGTATTCGACCGACAATTTAATTTTCTGTCGAATGGTATATACTGTATACACTAGACATATTTCGTAAGGGAGAAGGTTTCTTCTAAACGTCGTAGTATGACCTGCATGACTGATAGCATAGGAAAAAGTATCAATTTTTTTTACTGCTATCTTGAAATAATTAAAGTTAAAATAGAGTATATCGTTAAAAATTGCAACTGACCGCTCCGACAAACCATCACTTTGGTGTCTTTGAGCATAATAATTGATTAATCGATACCATAAACGACCAGTAGTTGCGCCAACAAATGATAATGAGATGCAATTTCTAAATGATATGTCATCGTATCTTTAGTTGTTGGTATTGTGCCAAAAAATTTGCATCCAGATATTCTGTCACTAGCACTTCCTTCTGATAGCGGAGAATAAAAACCCAATGATAATAATGGTTTTTCTGCTTCATCAGTAATAATAAAAGCATTTGATTTAGCCAGTTTAGCTGATAATGAAGCAGTTGTAAATTCATCAATGACGCCTGCTTCATCTTTGGAAATACCAAGAGATTTAATCGTTTCAATAACTGCCTTTTTGATGGGTGAAATAATCTTTGACTTTCCACAACCTACAAATATCACATATAAAAATTTCTTTTTTTTTACTCTACAACTAAACCTGATGGTCCAATCAATAAAAGAAAAATATTTAAGTTGGTAATGTGGTTTCTAATATTAACGGTAGATTGATCACAAAAATGACCAATACAAGTAAATAATGACAAAAGAAGTCCAACTGGATCTGTATCATTGACTAGTTTATAATTATTTAAAAGATCAGCTAATAATTTAAATGAATTATCAAAAATATTTTCCAAATTGATGGTAATATCTCGAACAGTAGATAAATTTCTTTGCCACATGCAATTGGCTAAAAATTCTTGATTTTTATTGAGTTGAGCCGACATTGTAAAAATTAATATTTGAATTAATTATTGAGATGTGAATTAATGTTATTTATGTGAATGCGATAAGTGATTAAGTAGAAAAAGGAGCGAAAATAAATAAACATTTGAAAAATCAGATAGTTGTAAACATTTGCTTAATGTAATGCGTATACAGGATTTACTGCCGTGGGATTTACTGCCGTAAACAATCTAGAAGGCGCGCTTTGTTTAGAAGCAATTTTAAAAGAAAATAATTTTGTTCAACTTTTTTTTTTCGTTTAGCGCCCATCTCCCACCCCTTGCTCCTTTTACTTGCATGAAGCAATCATAAAGTACAATTATATCGGATACTTATCGAATTTGTTACTTTTTTTTTTTT